CTCTCATAAACTCTATTTCATTTTTTAGTGGGTATGTGAACTTAATTGTGTGATGGGACATCTCAAAATGATTGATATCCTATTTAGTAATTTCATTCAAGATTATTATTGTAATAAAAAAAAATGTTCAAGAAATGGGAGGTTCAAAATAATAAATGGAGTGTTAATAGAAGCACTCCTTTTTTTTTATTAGCATCGAGTGTCTGGATCAAAGCTCAATTAATCTCGAAAGGTTTATAAGCTCTCAATAAGAATTTTTTTTTGCAAGTGCATCACAATTAATTTAATGATTTTTTTTTTCCAGTTTGATAGCCCTAAAGAATTGTTGGAAGTGTTTCTATATATATTTTTTACAATTAAGTTTAATAGTAAATTATAATTAATAATGATACAAAAAAATTAAATGCAATGTATCTATATTACTGTGGGGATATATTTTCTGAGTACCAACATGTGGCAAGGTGACGCTGACGTGTCAATTGAGGTGCTACGTGTCCTGATCATGACGCCGAGGTGATCTCAGCAAGGCCGAGGTTATCTCCGAAGATATCGGAATCTGAAATAAGTGGATAAGGGACAAGAGTCCTAGAATGAAAAGGGAACTCAACCTGGATGAGGGACAAGAGTCCTAGAATGAGAGAAAACTTCAGTTTGTATTAAGATAAGACTCTTAGAGAGTTTATCCTAATCTTACTGGGAGTCCAAGATTAGCAGTAATCCTGAGACCATAGAAGTTAGACTTCTATTGGGACTAGGTTTATGTTGGCTATAAAAGAGAGGCACCCCCATGGGTCTAAGATATGCTTTTTTGGCTCAAGCTTGTGAGTTGAATAATTGATTATCTTTGAGAGATATACTGACTTGATCGTCGGAGTGCCCCCGGGTGGACGAACCACTGCGGGATTCTTATATTTCTATTGCAGGTCAGTGCCATCTATTCTGTCAGTGCTCTCCAGCTGAATTACTGAGTTGGTAGTGCGGTCGGAAAATTTCCCACACAATTTGGCGCCGTTTGTGGGAAAGAAAGAAGAATAGATGGCCAATAAAAGAAAGAAGAATAGATGGCCAATGACGGACAGAAGGATCAAACTAGAGACAACGCTCCTGCTGGGAATGAGAGATCTATCAACCTTGACGTTGAAGGGGACAACCGCAACACAGAAACTCGTGACCAGAGTCACGGAGTGAAAGACGCCGGCCAGGAAGGTGACGCACCAAAGACAACAGATCGAAGCGGATACTACAACGAAGATGACCTCCAGGTATGGAAGGATAGATACCTGCGAAGGAACGAAGACCCTTCCAAAAGGGATGCAAAGACAGGGGGCATGAGCGCTCCCAAGGAGATAACATTCAAGTATAGAAAAACTCATCTTGAGTGAGCAGATCCCGGATTCTAGATCTTGGATCCCAGATCCGAGAAGACATGATCTCAACCTAGACAAGTAGGCCCAAGAAGACGAGAGCCCAACCTAAGTGAGCAGATCCCGGATTCCAGATCCCGAATCCTAGAAAACATGATCTCGGCCTAGATGAGTAGGTCCGAGAAGAGAAGAGCTTAACCTAAGTGAGCAGATCCAAGATTCTAGCAGACAAGATCTCGGCACTTAAGTCCGAAAAGAAAAGAGCTCAGTGAGCAAATCTCAGATCCCAGAAGATAAAAAAGAAAACACACAAGGTTGGACTACAGTTAGCCAGGTTGAAGACCTTTTACAAGGTTCGCAAAGAAGTATGTGGAAGCCATGCAGGGGGTAGAGAGAAGAAGAATATGTTTACCACTTGTTGAAATTTGTGGTAATTTTACAAGTTGGTTAAACCGATATGATGTTTACCACCAGTTGAAATTTGTAGCAATTTACAAGTTGGTTAAACCGATATGATGTTTACCACTTGTTGAAATTTGTAGCAATTTACAAATTGGTTAAACCGATATGATGTGTACCACATGTTGAAATTTGTAGCAATTTACAGGTTGGTTAAACCGATATAATGTTTACCACTTGTTGAAATTTGTAGCAATTTACAAATTGGTTAAACCGATATGATGTTTACCACTTGTTGAAATTTGTAGCAATTTACAAGTTAGTTAAACCGATATGATATTTACCACTTGTTGAAATTTATAGCAATTTACAGGTTGGTTAAACCGAGATGATGTTTACCACTTGTTGAAATTTGTAGCAATTTACAAGTTGGTTAAACCAATATGATGCTTATTCACTTGTTGAAATTTATAGCAATAGTTATATAAGTGGCGTGCAGTCAG